GGGGGGACCTCAGGGCAGGGGGGGAGCTGCTGCGGGGGGGGGCCTCAGGGCGGAGGGGGGGCAGGGAGCTGCCGCAGGGCTGGTGGGCGGGGGCGCAAGGTGGAAGTTTTGCCTAGGGCGTGAAACTTCCTTGCACCGGCCCTGTTGGACAGGCTTCAGTAGGGGTTGGTTTAGGTGGGCTGCACATGGGAGATCTTGGCTAAAGCTTGGCTGTATTCTGTAGATTTCAGGAACACCGTAAAAAAAAAAATCAAGCCAAGTCTGAAGGCTGAAGGCCAGATCCTGAGGTGCAGCGTGGTTGCTTTGCACCACACTGACACCAGAGTCTGGATCTAAAGCTGATGTTCCCAGCCGCTGAAGGACCATCCCTGTGCAAGGGGTTCTCCGATGGCCTAGAGGGTCCTACACCAGCCTCTTGTCTGTGGCTGGTGGAAGGGACTCCTCTGGAGGACAGAGGCCGTTCCTGGGACTATAACAACCTGCTGCTTCTTCATAGCTAGAGAAGTTGTTCTTTAGCTTATGTGTTAGGGGCTTGTGTTTTGGTGTTGAAGGTCCCCGCGTCCCATTCCCCTAGGTGAGCAGCAGTGGCTGGGCCTGCAGCCACGAGTCCGCCACTTCCTGGGTCAGTCACCACGGGTCCCTCCTTCTTGTCTTCTAGGGAAGTATTACATCGCCACCATGACCATGATCACGGCCTCCACCGCGCTGACCATATTCATCATGAACATTCACCACTGCGGCCCAGGAGCCAAGCCCGTGCCCAAGTGGGCCAAGAAGTTCATCCTGCAGTACATGGCCCGGCTATTCTTTGTCTACGAGGTGGGGGAGAGCTGCAAAAGTCCCAAACGGCAACTGGGCCACCTGCCCACGGTCCAGGTGGTGAGCGGCAGGGCCGCCAAGGAGGAGCAGAAAGCCCAGACAACGGAGGAGGACTCGGACGCGACGTGCCGGGAGAAGTCTCCGCAGCAGGAGTTGCTGCCGCAGAAATTCAGCAGTCCCTCTGGCCAGCAGGACTGGAAAGAGACCGGGACACGTACGAACCTAGAGTGCGGCCGGGAGGGGCAGCAGCACCAAGTCTGTGGGAAGAGCCCGTGCCTTTGCCACCACAACAGCCTGATGAGGAACGTCGAGTACATCGCCAACTGCTTCCGGGACCAAAAGGCGGCTCAGAAACGGAGCGGTGAGTGGAAGAAAGTGGCCAAGGTCATGGATCGCATCTTCATGTGGATCTTCTTTATTATGGTCTTCTTCATGAGCATGCTCATCATGGCCAAAGCCATCTGAAGAGCCCTCGGCACGCAACGCCCGCTAGTTAGCTAGAACCTTTCCTCTCGCCCTGTTGGAGCTGTGGGTGCACACGGCTGGGTGGCCTGGGACGGTCCATCCTGGCGCTGCTGTGGAAACTGTTGCATGTGAGGTCTCACTAATAGCATGTTCTCCTAGTTCCGTAGAGATCTATTCTTTGGCAATCCTAGAACCCGTTTTCCCCCACGAGGGCGGCACATGTTACTGCTGCAGCCCCGTAGCTGGTTTGAAACGATCACCACCCCGTGGAGCACCAGGGAGCTAAAGGGGAGGGGTGGCTAAGGTGGGGAGGGAGGGTCGGGAGTCAGGACTCTCGGGCCTGTTCCTTGGTTCTGGGAGAAGAGTTTTTGGGTAGTGGTTAGAGCAGGGGAGGAAACTGAGAGCTGGGACTTTTGGGTTCTGTTCCCAGTTCTGGGCAGAGACTGGGGCCTAGTGGATTGGAGTGGGGGAAGGGCTGGGAGCCAGGACTCCTGGGTTCTATCCCAGCTCTGGGAGGGTTTGGTAGGCTGTAGCCTGCACCCCAATGCAGTGTGTATCATTCTAACATGTTCAGTCTCCTCTGCAAGAGCTTGGTGCGGGAGCGGGGCCTGGAATAAAGAGACCAAAATAAAATCTCTGGAATGTCTCCTGTGCATCGTTCTTGGGCTAGAAAGTCCAGCAGGGACCATCTGTCGTGGCCCCCAAGCAGTACCTGTGCACTCGAGGGCTTTGCTGTGGGGGCCCTGACACCGTCATGTATGCAGCCAGCCTGTCCAGCTGCGTGGAGAGAGCTAACGCCACTGGCAATGCAGCTAAGGATCCGGGTTGTGGCTGCTTCCAACCCATCGACTCAGGGTGGAGACTGACTTTCAGCTCAGCTCATTCCACCTTCCGTCCCTTCTTTGAGCCCATGCCAGCCAGCGCTCTGACAGACACAGGCCTCTTCTCTGGGGCGAATGTTCCAGGTAAACCCCCGTCAGCTTAATTATCTATTTCCCTGTTGCAAAGGTGGCCGCTGATTCTGTGGCTGGATGGCTTATCCCCATTGCAATTCTCCAACCTGGGGTGCCTTTTACACTGCTCCGCTGGGAGAGCCACCACTCCTGGTCTGCTCACACCCAGCCTCCAGCATGCAAGTTACACTGTATGAGTGCTCTACCCAGCCTCTCATGAATTACACCAGCAAACTCCCAGACGTTCCCCCAGAAATGTATGTCTTCTACTGCCCAGCACCGCCTGGACAATCCCAGCTCAGCTAACGGCCATCATTTTATTAATGGAAAATGCTATGCACAAATCCTGTTGTCGCAAAGGGAGTTCCCCAAACACTCTAATCCAAACACACTGGTCTAGATAAAACACTAAAACAAATGTATTAACGACAGGACGAGAGATTTTAAGTGGTTGCGGGTAATGAGGCATAAAAGTCAGAACTGGTTACAAAGAAATAACTTCTTAGTTGCTTTTGATCTTTTCAGTGAATTCACAGCTAAGTCTCTCTCACCACTTCTTCCCACAGTCTTGCTGGCTGAGTCTTTCGATCAGGGTCTCTCCACAGACCCATGTTGCTCCTCTGTTCTTCAGGTGTTGTTGGTGCCATGGGCAGAGGGAAAGGGGGAGAAGTTGGGATATCAGCGCTCTTTCTCTTGTAGTCCTTTCTCTTGCACAAGAAACACCTACAGCTGAGGTTGGGGAGACAGTATGTGTGGACAGAAACCTCAAGCTGTTTCTTTGGCCAAATACAGACTTTTGCTCACACCCTCTCTCCTGCTGAAGAGTGGCCACGTAATCAGGCGACGGTCCATTTGATCTTGTTGACGCCTGCCTGAGGCATTGGCCAGCCTTTTGCCTCTGGGGCACCGGTTTGTGACTGATCTCCAGAACGGGTTGGGTCATGCCTCAGTAATAGCTGACAGTGGAATCTTCTAACTTTTACATACAACACTCGGTTGCCACACAATAACAATGAGCCGATCACGAGTTTTCAAATAATACCTCACCAGACCTACTTTGCCCAAGGTTTATCGAAGGGGGGAATGTAGGGGTACAGACGGTCACAATAGCATCCATGAGTCTGTAACTCCCCAAAGCAACGCACACCGTGAGTTACGCTGGGATCTCGGCCTCCTTCGTAACAATCTTCCCTGTTTGTTCTCCTCCCCCTGGCCCAAGTTGGGCCAGGCCCCAAGAGCCATGGGGTTCTAGGGAGCAGGTGGGAGGGGACCCCCGGGGCAGGAGGGGATTTCTGTAATTCCTTGGAGGGTTAATCGGCTTAGCCTTTCCCCCTCAATTAATTAATAGAACTCATGCGACCAAATGGAAAATATCATTTTGCCTTCTTTATTAACTGCTGAGAGCCCACGGTGCTGCCCAGGAGTCGGAGGGAGCCCCTGGCTCTGGTCCCAGGACATTGGCCCTTCCAGCTAATATCCCGTTAATGACCTTAGCTCCTCCTCTAGCCCCTTCCAGCCAAGGGGCTATCTACATTCTCATATGCTCCCCGCACTGCAGTACGCCAGGCCCAGCACCTCCTAACTTCCATTGGAATCCATGGGAGCCGAAAGACCTTTAAAGATCTCAGCGCGCTTTGCAGAAGCAAATGGATTAATCTTCACAATGCCACTCGGCGGTTGGTGTTATTGTCCCCATGTTACAGTGGGGGAAACTGAGGCACAATAAGGTGAAACAACAGTTGGAGGTTTAGGGACTCCCGGACTATGTGGCTGTATTCCCAGGGTCACTCAGTGAGCCAGGCATAGAAGCTGGGTGTCTCGATTCCTGTCCTGGGCTGTAACCACTAGACAAATTCCCTCTGACGATCTGAGCGATAGGAACTAAGTGTGCATCCCTCCTGTGACCAGTTCAGCCAGCCAGCCCTGCTTCAGTCACGGCGTGCTAAGGCCTTTCTTCTGCATCTGCATGTGTTACCAGACGGAAGCCCGTTGGGCCACGCGTCCCTCTTCATCCGCCGCTCGTGGGCTATGTGTGGGAGTTTCTACAGCTCTTGGAGAATCCGCTGATGAGCACTGCAGGAACGGGGGTGGCTTGGCTCGCTGGACTGAGAGACCAGCGGCTAGGGCATATTTCCCAGTCCTGATCCGCTCACGATTTACCCTCTCCACTTAAGTGCCTTGCCCAGGCATCTCCTTCTCATATTCCACCCCTCCGGAAACCTTGAGTGACATTCCCAGCGCGTCCTAGCCCCGGGGCGCCTGGCTTGGATGCTTTGCTTTGTAGCCTACGCTGCAGGTTTGCACCTGAATAATTTAGCAGCAGGACTGTCTGGCTTCCTCTTATTTATTTGTACCCCTGCGGTGTTCTGCTTTGCTGCCTGGCTGTACGGTGATCCCAGCAGCCAGGAGAACGGCCTAAGCACCTTGTGCACGAGGAGGTGATCCCGGGGGGGTTATAATAGCAGAGAGCCGCAGGTATGCGCCTCCCCCACCATTACCTAGCACCTGCATAGCATGGGTAGGTCAGGAGAGCTGAGAACCCCGACTCACGACAGCCAGGGCACAAGTGGGCCCGATTCTCCATGGCCTTGCACCACCTCTGGCCGCCTTACCCCTGTGTAGTGTGGGCCGGATGCTGTGCCTCTTGTGAGACCTGGCGCAGAAGGTGGCGCCCAGGAGGAAAGGATGGGGGCCTGTCCCAGGCCCAGTGCAGGTCAGAGCAGACCTGGGAGCTGTTCTACCGTAGGGAAGCCTCCCGTGGCTGTCCGTGGGCTGTGCAGAGTCGTCCAGATGCTTTCTCTGCCCCAGGCAGGGCGGTAGCTGGGGCGGCAGGCTTAGCCCAGTGAGGGAGCGCAAAGGGGAGCCCAAGCCGAGTTCTCCCCTCCCACAGCTCAGCGGTAACGCTCCACACCCACTTGGTTGAGCCTTTGGGGTCAGGCTTTCCGGAGCAGGGGCAACAGTGGTGACCAGAGCTAGGGTTGGGCCTTGTCCACACGGCCGCAGTGTTACTTTAACATGCCTGCACAGCTAACGTAGCAGCGCCCCCACCCCAGGTATAAAAGGCTGCCCAGGGTGTGTCGGACCCTCGTGAGCGCCCTGTCCTGGCCACCCACTGGGAAGGCTGTGCAGGACCCAACCTCAGTGCTCTGGAGCCCCCGGGCGTGTGTTGAGTTTTCCAAGTCTCAGCAGGCTGTAGCACTGGTTCTGCCCTTGGCCTCTCGGGCACATTTCCTGGGCACTGACCCGGTCTGTTACCCGTCTCCGAAGTGGGCTCCTCAGCCCACCTGCCCAAGGCCCCAGGACCAGCACTGACCCCCCCCCCAAGATCCCCCAGTTACTTAACTCCACCCAAGAACTCCACCCCAAAGGCGGGAAGCTTCTGGTTTACTGTTGTCTCTCAGGGGCACACAGCAGTTGTGGAGCAGTACATGTGTGTACACACTTCGCACAGTGTAACACCTTTATGCTCTTTTATACTTAATCATGTAACGCACAGGAGCGTAGAGACCATACACAGCAATAAACATCCAACCCCCGAGTATCCCTCCCTCTCCATCTCCCCCTTCCCTTGGGAGTCCTTGGGGATCCATTTAGCCTCAGGCAGGAGGGAGGTCCCCTTCTCATGCAGACTGTTGCATTCTAATGGCTCTTCCAGCTCCCTTCCTCCCCCTCCCCCCCAGGTGCTCCTTATCTAGCTTCTGTAACCTTGCTCTCGCCTGCCCCACACTTCCTCTTCCTGGCTGGCCCCCGTTCCTGTGGGTTTCATCATTTTAAACCCCTCCTGGTCAGCTGGTCTCTATTGTTCTCCTCTAAGGCGTCCCCCCCCCACTCCCTACCGCAGTCACCTAAAAGCTGGTTTTCTAAGGATGCGGCTCACCCCGTGTTGCAGATGTTCCTACCTGAATGGGATTAAGTCCTAAGCACCTTCTTCTTGTATCTGCCTAGTGCATATGTGCTACGGGACCTGTCAGCAATGATCCACATGAACATTGGCCCTCATGACACAGCAAATTTTCACAAGACACCTTCACACCCAGGGCCGGTGCAAGGAAATTTTGTGTCCTAGGTGAAACTTCCACCTTGCGCCCGCGCCCCCCAGCCCTGCTGCAGCTCCCCGCCCCTCCCCTGCCCTGAGGTGCCCCCCCCCAGCAGCTCCCCCCCTGGGAGCCGTGCGGCAGCTCCCCACCCCAGCTCACCTCTGCTCCGCCTCCTCCCTGAGCACGCCGCCCCCGCTCTAATTCTCCCAAACAGCTGATTGGCGCTGCAAGCCTGGGAGGCGG